TAGCCCTTCGGGTAGACATTCTTCAGATTTTGGTAGCCCAAAATTAATTTAAGTAGCCCGAATAAAAATAAAAAAAAGACAACGGCTGAACTTCACTGCGGACAAATCAGCATGATTAAAAACTTCAGTGATTGCTTTTTTTTCTTCAAATAACAAGTCAAGAGAGTAGGGGTGCAACTAGGGATGTTCATTTTAACCGGTTAACCGTTAACCGACTGTAAGAATTTTGACCGATTAATACAATCAGTTAAACGGTTTAAAAAGTGATTTATTTATTTCTGCATCATCAAGGTAGCAATGCTTAACTGTGTGCGCGCATGCGGCGCCGGCGCAATCACTTGAATTTTTTCCTTCTAACAGTGGAAGAAACTACTCCTTTTAGTCATAAAGATAATCGGGATTGTAAAAGGTTTGCTATTATTTGTGTACATTCGCAATAAAAACAAATCTTTGTGGTTTTGTAAAATAAGCCTAAAGAAAAATAGGATGCCGCTTTCTGCAGATTGGTTTCGCGCAGCACAAAAATGAACCGAAACTGCATACTAGGCTACTTGTTGCACAGTTTTTCTTTCATTTTCTTAATTTATTATTAAGTAAAAATATATTTCTCTTATAGGCCTATTTATTCGTTATATATAGCCTAGCTTTGGATGAAATCGTGGCCTAATGGTTAGAGAGTCGGACTCGTAACCCAAAGGTTGCGGGTTCGAGTCTCGTACTGGCAGGGATTGTAGGTGGGGGGAGTGAATGTACAGCAAAGCCACTGCTCCGGGTGTGTGTGTTCACGGTGTGTGTGTGTTCACTGCTTTGGATTTGTGACAGCTTTCACTGCAAAGTGCTTTAGCACTTTGGATGGGATAAATGCAGAGCACTAATTCCGAGCATGGGTCACCATACTTGGCCACATGTCACTTCACTTATGTTTTTTTCCGCTCGCAGAGGCGCTGCAGGTGCGTGATGTGATATGAAGACCATGTGAATCCTCATGTTCTGTTGTTTGCTGCTTTTTGCGCATGTAAAAGTAATCCCCGGGAAACAAATGTTAGTATTTTCAAAGAGACACAAACACTTATCCTTTCTAATTTAATTCAATTCTAATTTTTTGTCTTATTGCAACTCGTCTCTGTTCTGGACTTGCACAAACTGCGTTGCAATGCAATAATTTTCCAAAATGTCATTTATGTGAAAATATGAAGTCTGTAAACGCCCGTTAACACAGGCCAGAGACGCTGAAGAAGGATGCACAGAGAAAAATACTGTAGCAGGCAGATCACTCACTGTTCATGATGCACAAACTATTGGAAGAAAATTACAGCAGTGTTTCAGCTAAGTGCTGCTTTGTTTAACAGCGATAACCAAGGAAACACTGTATCTGGTGTTCCAGAAGCGCCTCCTGCTGTCAGAGAATGAATCTGCGTCTCATTCAGAGCATCTGCTGTAAGACCATGTGAATCCTCATGTTCTGTTGTTTGCTGTTTTTGCGCATGTAAAAGCGCATGTAAAAGTAATCCCCGGGAAACAAATGTTAGTATTTTCAAAGAGACACAAACACTTATCCTTTCTAATTTAACTCAATTCTAATTTTTTGTCTTATTGCAACTCGTCTCTGTTCTGGACTTGCACAAACTGCGTTGCAATGCAATAATTTTCCAAAATGTCATTTATGTGAAAATATGAAGTCTGTAAACGCCCGTTAACACAGGCCAGAGACGCTGAAGAAGGATGCACAGAGAAAAATACTGTAGCAGGCAGATCACTCACTGTTCATGATGCACAAACTATTGGAAGAAAATTACAGCAGTGTTTCAGCTAAGTGCTGCTTTGTTTAACAGCGATAACCAAGGAAACACTGTATCTGGTGTTCCAGAAGCGCCTCCTGCTGTCAGAGAATGAATCTGCGTCTCATTCAGAGCATCTGCTGTTTGCTTCATTCAGGCATGTAGTATAATTTCACAAAGCTAGTCAGAACAGAACAGTCTGTTTTTGCTTCAAATTGAGTAATTATTCAATCAAATTATGTATATAAAATTATATAACTAAATTATATGAAATTATATAAATTATATGTATATGAATTATATAACTAAAATTAAATAACTGTAATTACAGATTTAGGTTAAATGCCAGTCTTTATTTTTATTTTGTAGGAAACAAATCAAAGAAAAAATAAACTAATTCTACTATTCCTAATATTTTGTGTGTTGCTCAAAAACAAAATATATCGTGTTCAGCGGGAAAAAGTTTTTTAGGTTTTTTTTACCCAGTCATTAAAAAAATTAACACATTTTAGAGCTGTAACGACAACACCGTGATACCGTGATATTTTTGCTTAAGGTTATCATACCGTCAAAATCTAATACCGGCCCATGCCTACTTACAGGTGCATGAAATCAAGCATACGACCTCCCTAGACAAACATTTACAGTAGAATTGGGTGTACTAAAGAGCTCAGTGACTTTCAACGTGGCAATATCATCTTATGCCACCAGTAAAATGATTTGGTCTGCTGTGGAAGAATTTACCTAACACTATCCGGTACAAGAATTTACCTAACCCAATCTGGACAGACGTGTCCCTGGACAGACACGTCTATCCTGTGCTGACATAGAAAAACAAGTTTTTCTTCCCACTATTCCTATCCCTCCTTCTTGTAGTTTTTAAGACAATGTTTGAAACTTTGTATTGCTAGCACTTCACATCTTATTGTCTCCTTATGATAAATCGCTTCTTGTATTACTCATTTGTAAGCCACTTTGGATAAAAGCTTCTGCTACTGTAAATGTAGATAAATGTAAAAGAATCTGACTAGTCTGCATAAAGTAAGACCAGACCTGAACGCCTTTAGTACGGACTGAAACAAGCGACACGGTGTCTTTCTCTATTTCATTACAATGTAATAAACTAGTCTAATGTAATAAACTCAGCAGGCCTCTCTCGCCTCTGGAATGAATTCTTAAAATTCTTTAACTCTCACAGCAACACAAATACAAATCTGTTTAAAAGCTTGAGAAATTGGTTAAAATTCCACTGTTTGGTTACCAACATTCTTCAAAATATCTTCTTCCACAGAAGGAAGTCAGTCATACCGGTTTGGAACAACATGAGGGTTGAGTAAATGACACAATTTTTGTTTTTGGGAAAACAATGAAGAAAAAAAAATCTGATATGCAATGTCTTTTTTGATTCAATCAATTAGCAACAAACAAAAATCACAAAACCTATACAAAAAACCTATATAAAAAATGGTTAGAGTCAGACCATGACCACATTTAGTCCATTTGCCTGACAGTTGATATGCGAATGAAGGCAGCACAAGTTTTCATTTGCATGATCAAGTATTAGGACTTGAAAAACGAATCGATTTAGCATAATATAGACCCTGCCATTACACTAGCAATCACAGCTACAATTACACACGCTTGGCTTATTCGTTCATCACTCCAGCATGTTGGCAGCACTAAAGACAGAAGAGGCTGTTGTGCTCATCTCTTCTTTTAAAATACATTTATGACAAAAATACAACATAACACAGAGAAGGAAGTTATATGGTGAACCACCAAAACCGAATAACCAAAGAAAATTCTCAAAAACTATTGATCAAGTATATAAAGGCTGCACATAAGACAGTTTACCCAACAATTCCTTAGACTGTGGCCCTTTCAATAACATTATCACATACTATTGACAAAATCTGCCCTTCGATGCTCAAGAAAGGCGGACAAATACAGAAGAGAACAAATTCCTAAAGTATTCACAAATAATTGCTATTAACTTAGTCACTTAAATGAGTCTTGTTTATATACTGTGATCTCTCTGTAAGGTTTGAGCCCATGCCTACAGGTCAAGACACTTTACTCGTGAATGTTGACTCACCCATCTGCCCAAGTCTCTCTCAGTCTCCATGTTTTCTACCTTTATTTCTATATAGCATGAAGATCAGTCCATGCACTCCAGACACTCTCTAACTGCAGAACGCACAGCTCACCCAGAAGAGTTTAACCTCCCTGTCCTGAACTGAACTGAACAGAGCAGGGATTGTTCATGCCGCTTAACTTCATTTCAGCAACATGGCAACTGTAAGAAATACACTGGGGCCTTATAGGTGTGTTTTTGTTGTTGTTGGGACACAGGCAGAAAACCAAAATGGAATTTCTGAGCGGGAGGTGGCAATTGCTGTAGGGTTTACGGCCCTTTGTTCTCTAAGCATGGTAATTTGCAAATGGACTTAAATCGAAATTACTAACGATTCTCAGGGCCCTAATATATATTGCCTATGTACCAACATATAATATACACGCTTGTTTCGATCATAAGGAGGCAAATTCATAGATACTAAACAAGGTAAGATTACATATAGTGAAAAGGGATGATCAGGAATGGGTTCCCTCACAAGCATGCCTAAAATAGTCTAAAAATATCAAAGACAAAATACACGATGACAATAATATACCCAATGACCTAAAGGATACACTGTTCATTCAAAGAAAGGTTTTCCTATGAATTAATTAGTAGAAAAGTCCATTCCTTGTGGATTTTCCTTATGGGGACAATGAGTGGGTTATTCTACTCACATTCCTGGGGGGTCATAAAACCAGTGATATCATGATTAGTTGTCATGGTGACCAAGGCGGGCCTGGTGTTCTACATAAATCCTGGCATCCAGTTTATTGAGTGAGGGGACTGTGACGATTTGTTAATCTAATGAATAATTGATTTGTTAAATCAAATAAAAATTAGTGTGTCAGATTGGTCGAGACGCTACAGATGGCAGTTTTTACCCTAGTAGTGGGACACGATGCCTCCTTTTCATTATTTTCAGTAACTGCTTCCATTTACTTCTCTAAATAATATATTGCAAATAATAAATAATATATACTGAACATGCTAAACGCACAGCTTTACAATTTAGTTTACAATTTATCATAAAATGCATATTGTTCTCTTAAGGGAAGCACCTTTCGCTAATGCATGGCCTCTTAAGACTTCCGTTGGCTCGTCATGTGATCTCAAAATACTGGCAACAATGAAGGAGGACCTGTCTTATCTGCTGTAAAAATCGATTTCTCTGGGCCTTTAATAGTTTTAAACATTCAAACTATTTCTTTCTGTTTATGTGTTTTTAAGCAGACAAGTTATTTCATTAACGTTTTGACCTACATTACTATCACAAGAAGTTGTATTTTAAAGGGGTCCTATTATGCTCTTTTATAAAGTCTTGATTTTGTTTTGGGGGTGTACTAGCACAGGCTCTCATACTAGGTTGTTCGAAAAACACATAATTTTTCACATATTTTTTATTATTATAACAACTCTCTCCCCAGTCAGTGTGTGTTGTGATTGGTTAGATGGGCCAGTGTGTGTTGTGATTGGTTAGCTGGGCCAGTGTGTGTTGTGATTGATTAGCTGGGCCAGTGTGTGTTGTGATTGGGCACCACTCGGCGCCTGGTCGGGAAATGTCACGCCCCTTACCATAGCCACTTGCCAGCTTTAGTGTAAATATTGCGTCAAAATCAAATCAATTTGAGCGCGATTTAAACCCGGATGATTGTAAGCACTCTCGTCTGCCTTGGGAAAGCTAGCGTGTCTCTGACATAGTGATAACACTCGTTGCTTTCTCTAGTGCAGCTCAACCAGGTCTCGTCCCATTCGTCGATATTTGTGATATCACAAATCCCAGAAAATATGCGTTGTAGTCCAAACGAGTCATTCGTTGTAGTTTTTGAAAAGTGATTTCTGTTAAATAAAATATCTCCTTTTGAAGTGGACTTTGAGCTTTGTAACTTTGCAGATCTTTTTTATGCTCATACAGAAACATTAGAGACTAACTAAAGTTGAAAAAGTGAAAAAGCATAATAGGACCCCTTTAAGTTCAATTCGCCTGGCTCTGCTGTTTTTATCACGTTCCTCAGTTATACATATCAGATGAAACACTGGCGTCTGTCGGACATCTGTTGAAGACATCTACAGGATCCTTACCTGTTCATATCGCGAGAGATTCAGATGGCAAAACTCCAGGCTTCACTGCCTTTGAAGATGTATACATGTAAGTTGTATGCCAAGAGCAACTTCTGTTTCTAACATATGAAAGTTGTCTGTAAATATTTTTCATTTGTGGTTTATCTTATATTGACCATAGAGCGTAGTGACAGTAAATGTAGGCTTGTGAGTTAGATTCTTAAAAGGTGGATCAGTCGATTTGTAGCCATTAAAATGTTTAACCCTTAGGAAGGGAATACTATATGTTTAAAAATCTATATGTTTAAAATCACGTACACTTAAATGAGATGTAGAATGTAGTTACATCAGTAGCCATAACAACAGCAGAAAAAGATACTGAGCACAAGTTTTCATTGTCGTACTGTTAAAAGGCCTCCTGAAATGAAGGGCTGGAAACATTTAAAGAAGACAGCATAAAGTAACAGAGACATTTGTGTATAGTGAAACTGATTTTGATCGAGGTGTTGAAAATATTGTCAGTGTTTTAGATGAACAGGTGTTTTATGTACACATATTTATTTAATATAAAACAATTTTGTAGTGCATTAACTTAAGACATTATGAATAATAACCAATTAATTTAAAAAAAATAGACATTTCTATTCAAAAGTTAAAATAAAATCTTAAAGTACAAATTAGTAGATTAAACATGAGAATTAAATGATTAGACTAAAATAATTACATCTGGCAAAGAAGTATTTTTGTTCAATGCTTCAAGTACCACTGGAAGTAACATTTTATTTTTTATTTGACTTATTATATGGAATTCTTGGTGTCTGTCCACATTCCATCTTTATTTTCTATTAGAGAAAACCAAGTTTTCAAGTGTCTTCAGTAACTTGGATTTTGCCGATCTTTTCAATCTCACTTTCACCAATTCAATAGTTTGTTTGAACTGAGACTTTTGGAGTCAAAAGTGGTCCAAAGAGTTTTTAAAGCACATGAAGTCCTGCAGATCTATTCTATTTTCCACAGAAGACAAACTGTAGGCTAGATGTATTAGCGTTCTGAACCGTTTTTGGCTCTGGTCTCTTTGCTTGACCCGTTGCTGTCATTTTTAACCACATTCCTTTGACAATCTCAGAACATTTTCACAAAATGGGTTTTCAATAGTAGTTTAAATCCCATTCTCAGTCTCTGTAAGAGCTGTCAATCATTTTTCGGCTGTCTTTAGCACCAGTCAAACCTCTGTCCCACCATTCTGAAAAAGATTTGATTGGGAACTCGCAGGTAACGACAAAGCTTCTGGAAAGCCTCGCTGCTAAGTGGTGCATGTGGTCTTCCTTTAGACTCATCCAGGCACTTGTCGTGTCCCGCAGACAGCATACAATAAAAGCCCTTAGTGACGTTAAAGTAGAAATTATCCGGCTTTATCCGAGGTGGAAGTTCCAAAAACGTCTCCGCCTTCTGCAGCTCAGGAAACGGATTCTGAATCAGTGCCTCTCCATCCACAATGTGCATCTGCTCTCTGGGAAAAAGCTCCAACCATCTGGCAAGGTGCTGGTAGTAAAAGCTCCTCTGAAGAGCTTTGTATTTGGGGTTGATGTGTTCTTGTGATAATAGCAGCTCTTCAAGTGGCTGATATGGCTTGTTTTGCTGAATTCGGTTGTGGAGAACTTGTGTGTAGTCTGATACAAGTCTCTCTGCAGGGTCACGAATGATCAGCAGCAGTTTCACAGCTGGATTCGTGGCCCATATCCTCTTTGGGGCCAGTGGTGCCGTGAAGTAGCCAGGGGTCTTTTCCACCGTCAGCTGCCCAGGGAGAGTGATGGGCATCTGGGCACGATACCAATCCAGACCCTTCCGAAAATGTTCATCCAGGTTGAAGTAGTGGATCTCGTTCTTGGCTACCTCCACATCTGGATGGAGGTTGAGCATCTCCAGCAGAGCCCTGGTGCCTCCTTTGCGCACCCCGATGATTATGGCTCCTGGCAGACGTTGCAAAGCTGAGGCATTGGAACTTCCAGAAGGGGTCGCTGAAGTCACTGAGGTCAGAGAGGCTCGGAGTTCATGCAGACAAACAAGCAGCTGTGCCTGGAGCAACAGCAGTAGGATCAAAGCCAGGAGGAGCGTCCAAAACATGGCGTCAGTCCAGTCAGGTCAAGGGTGGCACACAAACGAACACACACAGCTGGAGATCTGGCTGACTTGCACGTTTCGTGTTTCGTGAAGTAAATTTCTAAAAAGAAAATGTAAAAAAAAAAAGAGAGAGAGAGAGAAAGTGCACAGGAAATTATTTTTCAGAGAAAATAAATAATAAGATCCGCAGGAAAATATGAATTATTCATAGCATTAATCACGCATTAAAAAAATTATCAAAATGTATTAAAAAAATTATTAAATGTATCAAACATTCATTGTCAGGCCAATTTGAGTTGCTAACATGACAAATAGATGTAAAACATATGTTAAATCATCAACAACAGCAGCAGGGCAGGAGTGTACTTCCTCGGTGTGATTTAATTAACAGAATTATTAAAACACAGAGTGAAGAAACACATTAAACATTCATGAATAATCTCCCTGGGTAAATTTACTCATCCCAATCCCACTGCCTTCTCACTGCTGCCCTCTAGTGCTCACTATTGGAGCAATCCTCGATAATCCCTCATGAGTCTAAATCATTCCAATTATAAACTACATGAGCCACACATTGGAGTTAATAGACCAGTTCTTCATAACAAGAATAAGATTTACTGGTAACACTTTATAATAAAGTCCCATTAGTTGATGCTAGTTAAGTCAAGTCAAGTCACCTTTATTTATATAGCGCTTTTAACAATACAGATTGTGTCAAAGCAACTGAACAGCATTAATTAGGAAAATAGTGTGCAAAATAATGCAAAATGACAATAGTAAACACTCATTTTTCAGTTAAAGACAGTTCATCATTGAATTCAGTGATGTCATCATCCAGCTCAGTTCAGTTTAAATAATATCTTTGCAATCAAGTCAACGATATCGCTGGAAATTAAGTGTCCCCAACTAAGCAAGCCAGAGGCAAGGGGACAGCGGCAAGGAACCAAAACTCCATCGGTGACAGAATGGAGAAAAAACATTGGGAGAAACCAGGCTCATTCGGGGGGCCAGTTCTCCTCTGACCAGACGAAACCAGCAGTTTTAATGTTAATGCATTAATATATTGCCAATTGTTACAGTATTTATTAATCTTTGTTAACATTAGTTAATAAAAGCACAATAGTTTTCATTGTTAGTTCATGTTATCTCAAATCCATTAAAAATATTAACAGATACACCTTTTGATTTTAATAATGTATTAGAAAATGTTAAAATTAACATCAAGATGAATAAATGCTTTAGAAGTATATTGTAGCTTTAGAAGTATCATTGTTAGTTCATGTCAACTAATGCCGTTAATATTAACATTAACAAATGGAACCATATTGTAAAGTGTTACTGATTTATTTATAGAGTACCTTTCATAGTAGTTGAATTACTTTACAAGTGGGTGAAAAAAATACTGATTAAGAAAACTGTAAGGATAGAAAGGTGAGCGTTATTGAGAATTATTCTCATGATCTAATAAGAAATGGTTGTGAGTACTTAAGTTTAGAAGTATTAATGCAGAGAGCACCACCCTTGCTGTTTTTGGATTGTACATGTTTTTCACTGTATTTCAGTGAATGCAACTCTCACATCACATGGAACAAAGACAGTTCATTAGGCTTTTTACAGAGTTTTATTCTTCAGATTGAAAACAAAGATATGCAGTTTGTCCTCATAGCCACGAAAACTGATGCAATGGTTCCATAGTTGTCTTTTTAGTGCAGGTTCAACAAAAAAAAAGATTATAGTTAGAATTTTTTTAAAAATACTCACAATTGTGTCTAAACATCATTTAAAAAGTGGTTTGTTTATAGCAGAACATCCAATCTGCTCTTTCCAAACAATGAAAGTGAATGCTGACCACGGCTGCCACACATGATATTTCATGTCTTCCTCACACAAAGTTATAAAATGGCTTGAAAATTCTTGGAATATAGTGTGCAAATTATATAGATGATTTTATGATCCTTTTATACTGCATTATATTGCTTTTGGAGTTTGACAACCTCTGGTCCACTTTCATTAAACTCCTTTTGCGTTCAGTGGAGAAAAGCATGCATGTTTGAATCGACATAGGGTGAGTATATAATGACAGAATCTTCATCTTCCCAAAGAAAGTGAATATAACTAAACTAAAGGATATGAGAATGGATGCAAGTGGCTGATCAGGACTGTTGGCCACATAATTTCTGACATCTATACTACTTTAAAATGATTAATCTTCCATGTTTAGTCACCTCACAGTTGTGATGTTATTGTACCCTGCTGCTGCCGGAGTCACGGGTTATTAATTTGCTCCTCATCTAGTTTTGAGCAGTCAGCCCTTGTAAACGAGCTGTGGTGTTGCTCTGTATGTTGTATAATTACACAGTTGGGAGTAAGTGTCGAGCCCTGTGGTCTTGCCACTCCTGCTCCAGCATCAGCGTTATCATTACTGCTAAGCCTCATCAACTCTGCCATTACGGGTCTGAGTATCTGTCTAATGTCTCCCACTTTATTCCCTCATCTCACAGCTTTAATCCTCAGAATGTGCTGCTCCTGTTCCTCGGGTTATGTTGTCTGTTGGTGGTGACATTTAATCAAATAACGTAAGAAAAGAATACATTTACCAGGAGATTTTCAGTATTTCTGTCTTTATAGTGCTATTTTCTGGATTGCGCTGTACTGTATGCATGAACAGTGAGCCGTAGGATATTGTGATTTTCAAAAACAGAACAGAAAGCTGTGTGTGTCTGTTTTGAGTCTGTGTAATATGTGATATTAGTTTTTGTTCTTGGTGACAGGCAAAATGGACCTTTTTCGCAAAGAAACGATTTCTCTGTTTTTAAAGAAGTCTCTTATGCTCACCAAGGCTGCATTTATTTGATCAGCAATATAGTAAGAATAGTAATATTGTGAAATATTATTACAATTTAAACTATTTTCTATTTTAATATTTTTTTTTTATGTCATTTATTCCTGTGATTGCAAAGCTGAATTTTCAGCGGCCATTACTCCAGTCTTCAGTGTCACATGATCCTTCAGAAATCAGTCTAATATGCTGATCTGATGCTTAAGAAACATTTTTCATAATTCTCAATGTTGAAAACAGTTGTGGAAACCTTGATACATTTTTTCAAGGTTTTCTCATTAATGAAAAGTTCAAAAGAACACCATTTACAGTATTTGAAAAATAGAAATCTTTAGTAACATTTGAAATGAAATGCATCCTTGTTGAATAAAAGTATACATTTTTTTCTCCAAAAAAATGCTTGACCCCAAACTTTTGAATGGTCGTGTAAATGTACAAACTACATTGAAAGAAAAAATTGCTAGATTTACAAGTGTTAATTCTGTTAAATAAAGACATAAATACATCATCATCTCCATCTCATGAGAATACATTGAATGAGTCTGCAATTTCTTCTGAATTTGTACAATCTGACTTGTACGAAAATTTATGATTTGTATGTTAAACTTCATTGTGAAGGTCCATCCCTAAACTTAACCATTAGGGAGACCTGAGCAGTACAAAACTGTACAATTTAAATCATTAAAATTCATATGAATTTGCAACCAGCTCATGAAATCTTAAAATACTTTCAAATTGTTGTGAGACTATGTTGGCAAATCACTCCTGATAGACACAAATGGTCTTATAGGGATTCTATAGTGTGTGTTTCATCTTTATCAGGGACTCACAGACCTACTGATTAAGTAAGTCTTTCAGTTTGTTCTCTCTCAAGCAAACAAAGCTAGTCTCTCCCTTTCTCTCACACACACACACACACACACATTCTGTAGCTGAGAACTAAAAACGCATCCCTAATATACACACCCTCCACTGTCACCTCTCACTGTGCAGTATAATCCTCTTTCCTGAATGCCATTGCACACCAAAAGAAAACCCAGCGATGCACATACAGTGACACAAACCTCTGTTGATTTTCTTACACATTTTTGCATTTAGGCTCCTCAGCTTAGTGCAGCACGCAGTAATCCTGCACACAGCAGACTCATTCATGAACACAACCACAAGACAACTGCAGTACCACACACACACACACACACACACACAGACAGACACATATAAATACATGCACACACTACAAGAGTCTTGGCCTCTTGTAAAAAAACAAAAAAAAGGAGGATCTGCGGGGGTATGAGATCAAAGGACTTCCTGTCACATATTAGCATTTTATCTCAGTTCCCGATCCGACTGGATTGTTCAGAGTTCAGTGGCACCTAGCAAAACGAATGCATTTAGTCACTTTCTTTGGTGTATCTTAGAAAAAAATAACATTGGTGCGTTGTTTTCAGAAGTGACTATTAGTATCTACACTCAGAAAAAAGGTACAAAAGCGGTCACTGGGGCGGTACCTTTTCAAAAGGTACACTTTTGTACCTTTTAGGTACTAATATGGACACTTGAGGTACAAAGGTGTGCCTTTTGAAAAGGTACCGCTCCAGTGACAACTTTTGTACCTTTTTTTTCTGAGAGTGTATGTTCACCAAAGGCTTTTTTTCTCTACAGTGAGCACTTTGAAGGATTGAAGCATGTAGAGCAATTATTAGTAATTTTTTATTTTTTTATTTTTGTTATCACGTAGATTATGGCCATTTGACTTATAGCAGTGTCCAGTGTTTCCCATACATTGAGTTATTTGTCACAAAATCAAAACTGACCACCACAAATAGATTTTCCAAAAGGATTCTACTTCGTTGAATAAACTGAGCACTGCACGCTTCAAAATTAAAATGCAGCGCGGGTGTTTGTATATGAATGTACCGACCGTCTTCAGAAAAGCTTTGATGTCATTTTCATTTCGTCTTTCCTAGCTTTTTGTATTTGATTACAGCCGTTACCCGGGAAACCTGTATCTCCGCTCCAACAGCGCCTCCTGCTGGCAGAGAATGAACTTGCATTTGCAAGTCTGTGGGAAACGCTGGTGTCTGTCAGCAAACAAAAAGCATGCTTCAGAACTGTTTTGAGAAGATGCTTTGAGCCATGTATTATTACTATGAATTAGGCTACTACTACTATTACGATCTTGTGCCCTGCAATAATCATTTACTCTAACTCGCTTTTATGAGATAAATAAGGGGGGAAAAAAATCGGTCAAACATAT